ATGTTGGCCAGACTGGTCTTGAACTTCTGATCTCAGGTGATCCACTTGCCTCAGCCCCCGCAAAGTGCTGGGATTACAGGCGTGAGCCACCACACTCGGCCTGTTGGTTTTTTTAGTGCTTCCTTATTTTCTTACATTACAAGATGCCCCAGGTTCATCTCATGCTTTCCCTGCCTCAGGTCTAGAATTAGCCATTTATTCAAGGAGCCCAAACCAGTAATTTTTGACCAGCAACACAATAAAGGTGAAGTTCAGAACAGCTAAAAGATTACCTGTTTGCAAATAGGCTCAGCATACAAAAATTAGCTGGGCATGGTGGTGGGTGCCTGTAACCCTAGCTACTCAGAAGGCTGAGACAGAAGAATCACTTGAACCAGGGAGGTGGAGATTGCAGTGAGCCGAGATTGCGCCACTGTACTCCAGCCTGAAATGCACCAAGGCTCATACATGCAGAATTGGTATAGATGATCAGTGATGTCAGGAGTCAGAGTTCACCAGTTAGATAAAACCAGCTTTCAATATTCATGTGGCAAAACAGGGTCACCTGCTGAAGGTACACAGAATGCTTAGCTTCTGCCCTGAAACATGAGGTGACAAAATAATATGGGCAGGGCAATGACAATCTCTAGAAGGTCGCAATAACTAGCAAATGACAGGAAGGACTTCTTCAGCTCATCGGAGACATTACTGGGCTCTCCTGGAAGGCTTCTGGTAGGCCCAGCCTTGGAGTAGGTAAGTTAGAGGGAGGTGATTTCATGAAAGTTGGAAATATCCCCAATTGTATGGGGCAGTCCCTGCTCCCCCGGGGAGCTGGGAAGAGGGAGGAACCTCCACTTCAACAGTCACTGAGCTAAAGTCGAACTTTTCTCCTCAAGTTGTTGTAATTGGCTCATGAAGAGCTGGTCCCTAATGGTTAATTAGTACTAGAGGAAATTCCCTTCTGTAGGGAAGAAGGTGGTGGTGCCTCCTGGGAGTCCTCCCTACAGGAAAGGAGGCTCCTGGCACAGGTCTGGCCTCTACTAACTCAGGCCCTGGAGAGCAAATCAGCAGATTTGCTGGTTAAATAGATAACCAGATAAAGCTGGTTTCCTGGTTGCCCTCAGAGGGGCTCTGCCAGTCTGGCACTGTGTCTGCTTCTGGGGGACACTAGAGGCCCCACGTAATGCTTCTGGGGCACTAGAGACCCCACGTAATGCTGAGCTCTAACTTAGAACCAGTTCATGTCCTGTGAGGAGGCTGCACGTGAACCGCAGCCATGGCTGATTCTACCTGAGCCCTTTCCTTACTACCCATACACTGCCTCTGTGTGGTTGGCCCGTGGGAAGCAATGCCAGTGAAGCTGAGGTGGGTGGTGGTCCCCATCCCTGAGGCTCAGGTGGCATTATCCTACATAACTTCTCACACCATGGCTGGGCCAGCAAAGATGGAGGCCTTTCCTCCTTCTGCTCACACCATGCTGCTGAACTTTCAGGAGTTTCTTTTTCCCTTTCAGGCAGGCCTTTCTGTATGGTGAGTGGTGATTTCTCCCTGAGGTGAACTGGGGCCATGTTGGAGGAGTGGGACTCCAGGATGGAGAGTCAGTTTCCCTTTAACTCAGCACCCTTTAGTAAGTTCACAGACTTTCCTCTATCCCCATCTCCACCTCACATCAAACTTTTTATTTATTTATTTTTAGAGACATGGTCTTGCTATGGCTCCCAGGCTGGAGTACAGTACATGATCATAGCTCACTGCAGTCTTGAACTCCTGGCTCAAAAGATCCTCCCCCCTCAGCCTCCCGAGTAGCTGGGATTAGAGACATGAACCACCACACACAATTTTTGACTAAGGATAGATGAGTGAGATTAGGCAACAATGCCTGTACCCCAAACTGCAGCTCTTCCCATTCAACCCTGATGCCTTCTTGGGTCCTAGAGTTTAGTTAAATCTTTCCGTGTTCTGGAGTAATCTTGTCCTGATTTTTAAATTTTACTGCTCTGATTTTTGGTGTTTAGGAATGCTTACTTACCAGTTTCCCATCAGATTTGCCTACCACATCATCAATTATTTTTCAAAACATGATTATTTAGGAAAACAAAACCTCTGCTGAGCATTGCAGAGGACCTGTCTGTGCATCCGCTATGGTGCTTTCTTCACATGGTGTGTAATGTGAAAATGGGTGAGACACGTGTGCAGGTCTGGGTAATGCAAGGAAGAATAGTATGCGAACACGGCCGGGCGCGGTCTCACGCCTGTAATCCCAGCACTTTGGGAGGCTGAGGCGGGCGGATCACCTGAAGTTAGGAGTTTAAGACGCCCCTGGCCAACATGGTGAAACCCTGTCTCTATTAAAAATAGAAAAATTAGCTGGGCCCGGTGGTATGTGCCTGTAGTCCCAGCTACTCAGGAGGCTGAGGCATGAGAATCGCTTGAGCTCAGGAAGTAGAGGTTACAGTGAGCCGAGATTGCACCACTGCACTCCAGCCTGGGCTACAGAGTGAGACTCTGTCTCAAAAATAATAATAATAGGCTGGGTGTGGCGGCTCACGCCTGTAATCCCAGCACTTTGGGAGGCTGAGGCGGGTGGATCACGAGGTCATAAGATTGAGACCCTCCTGGCCAACATGGTGAAACCCTGTCTCTACTAAAATACAAAAAGTCAGCCAGGTGTGGTGGCGCAGGCCTGTAATTCCAGCTGCTTAGGAGACTGAGGCAGGGGAATCACTTGAACCCGGGAGGCAGAGGTTGCAGTGAGCCAAGATTGCGCCACTGCACTCCAGCCTAGCAACAGAGTGAGATACTGTCTCAATAAATTAATAAAATAATAATAATAGTAACACGAGACCAAACGAGTTCTATCCCCCCAAACACCAACACTTTGCCAGTGTTATTATTTCTCAAACACTTGCACTGACCTCTGCCTCTGAAACAAAGCTGACGGTTCAGAAAAATACATTCCGTCTATCACATGTAGGCAGATTCCCACTGGCACCAAGTGCATTCTCGTGGGAGCTCACATACTCCAGTGTGAGAAGCGCTGTGGTGTGTGCTTGATGCATGTCTGTGGAATGTGATTTGTAAAGGAGTTGAAGGAAATGCACAGTTATTCAAGTTTTTGAAAATCAGGGGAGTCTTTTAACAGAAAATGAATAAAGGAAAGAGGAAGAGAATTAGAAGAGACAAGTTGTGGAAGAGTTAAATATATAAGGTGTTGAGAAATAGAGCTGTAGTGAAGCTTGGGGCCAAATCATGTGAGGCTTTCAATATCCTCCCTCCCTCCCTCCCTCCCTCCCTCTCTCCTTCTCTTCCTCCCTCCCTCCCTTTCTCTCTCTCTTTCTTTCCATCTCTTCCTTTCTTTCTTTTTTTTGAGGGAGTGTCACTTCGTTGCCCAGGCTGGAGTGCAGAGTGCAGTGGCACGATCTTGGCTCACTGCAACCTCTGCTTCCCAGGTTCAAGCAATTCTCCCACTTAGCCTCCTGAGTAACTGGGATTATAGGCACCCGCCATCATACCTTTTGTATTTTCAGTAGAGATAGGGTTTCACCATGTTGGCCAGGCTAAACTCAAACTCCTGACCTCAGGTGATCTGCCCGTCTTGGTCTTCCAAAATGCTAGGGTTACAGGCATGAGCTACCATGCCCTTCTCCCTTCAATATTTTCTGTAAGGATGGGCTGACAGGTGAGAATCTGTGTTTTAGGGAGGTGAAACTGATCCTGTGTGCAGAGTAGAGATGTGCATGGAGAGGCAGGAGAAAGTGAGATTCATCATGAGGACTGTGTTCAAGGCAAGAGTTGGCCAGTGTCAGGACCGAGTGAGAAGGGTGCTGCCAGTGAGGCCAGTGAGTGCTGACTGGCCATGAGAGCAGAGGAGACTGAGATGGCAGAGAAGGGGGAGGCAAGAAGGTCAGCGAGGGAGAGGTACAGGAGACCGATCACTGGAGATTTAGGTGGGTGCTCTCCAGACATCAGGAAAGAAAAGAGAAGGTGGGAACTGATGGTGGGGGCTTATAGTCTTCAGGTGTAGGCTAGAAGGGGATCGGGCTCTGGAGAGTTGGCCCCACAGGGTAGAAAAAACAGTGGACTTGGAATCAGAAATCCTGGATTCTACTACAAATTCTGTAATTAACTCATGCCTCTATGCTCCTAAGGTGCTATGGTAACTCTAGACTCTTCAGCTGTGAAGAGATCTCTGCTTCCCTCAGCCCATCTAAATCTGAAGGGTCCCAAGTGATCCATGAGGAAGAAGAGCTACTATCCAAAGCTTCCTTACACCAGTACCTGACTGATACCTGTGCTGAGTGACAAAATACCAAAACGACTGGTGTGTGTGATGGAGTGGGCTAAGGGTGGGTTCTGAGTTGTGAACAGTGGAGGAGGGACTTCAGCCTAGGACAGAGGAAGAGTTACGTAACCCAGGAAAGACCAAAGATCCTGAGCGTAGACAGGACCATTCTGTCATCAATTGCTAGGCTTACAGTCCTGGGCAGGGGAATCTTTTTTTTTTTTTGAGACGGAGTTTCACTCTTGTTACCCAGGCTGGAGTACAATGGCGTGATCTCGGCTCACTGCAACCTCCGCCTCCTGGGTTCAGGCAATTCTCCTGCCTCAGCCTCCCTAGTAGCTGGGATTACAGGCACGCGCCACCATGCCCAGCTAATTTTTTGTATTTTTTTAGTAGAGACGGGGTTTCACCATGTTGACCAGGATGGTCTCGATCTCTTGACCTCGTGATCCACCTGCCTCGGCCTCCCAAAGTGCTGGGATTACAGGCTTGAGCCACCGCGCCCGGCCCTGGGCAGGGTAATCTTTCCAAGACTCAGTCCACACGAAGATTGTAGCAGCTCCTCAGGTGAGGCCACGGGGAGCTGTTGACTCTGAGGACAGCCTGCCCTAAAGTCCTCTGGATTCCCGTATCATTGTTTGAAAGGATTGCTAGACCCATCCACAAAATATAGATCAAATATGTTTGATTCTGTTTTTCTTGTCTGTCAAATGAGAGTTTTAGAATCAGTTCTTTCTATAGATAACAAATTAATGGTTTTATCAGTTATAAGCCCTGTCAACTTCCTATTTTAAATTAGGATCATGGTCATGCATTGCTAATTAAAGGAACCACCATGGATAAGTTTGTACCGACTGCAGCCTCAGCTTCTCTGTTTCTAAAAAGAAGAAATGTATAATTTTCCAGAGTCCCCTCAGCTCTAAAAAGTTTAAGTGTTAGAATCTGAGAATTAGCTTTCTTAGGGCTCCCTTCATGTCACGATTCCTGAGGCTGTAGACAAAGGGATTAACCAGGGGCGTCACCACTGTGAAGATGACAGTGGCCAGAGTGTCCTGTACTGAGTAGGAAGATGAAGGATGCATATAGACCCCCAAGATTGCCCCATAGAACAGGGAGACCACAGTGAGGTGGGATCCACATGTGGACAGGGCCTTCCTTACTCCATGGGCAGATGGCAACTTCCAGATATTAGAGAAGATGTAAGCATATGAAACAAGGATACATGTGAATGGTGCCAGAAATATCATTCCACCCACAGTGAAGACCATCAAATCATTGACAAAGGTATCAGAACAAGACATCTTTAGAATAGGGTAAGGGTCACAGAAGAAGTGGTGCACAGCATTGTTGGAACAAAATGCAAGTTGGGCCATGAGAAGAGTGTGCAGAAGAGCATGCAGGTTGGTGATGACCCACGATGTGGCCACCAGAAGGATGCAGAGTCTGGGCCTCATGCTCGTGGTGTAGTGGAGCGGGCAGCAGATGGCTACATAACGGTCATAGGCCATCACACTCAGCAGGAAGCCATCCATGTTGATGAAAGTGATGAAGAAGTAGATCTGGGTCATACAGCCCATGTAGGAGATAGACTTGCTTCCCAACACGTGGTTCACCAGCATCTTGGGGATGGTGACTGATGAAAAGCAGATGTCAACGCAAGAGAGGTTGGCCAAGAAGAAGTACATGGGTGTATGGAGATGACCGTCGCAGCTGATAGCCAAGATGATGAGCATGTTCCCAATGATGGTGACCAGGTACATCCACAGGAACAGCCCAAAGAGGACCTCTTCCTGCTCTGCCTGCCCAGAGAGTCCCAGGAGAAGGAATTCTGCGACTCTAGTCTGGTTGCCTCCATCCATATCTGCTGGGAAGAAACTGTCATCATGGGGTAAGATCATATGCCAACACTTGAGCAAATTTTATATTTTGAAAGAGTTTACACATCAGTTGAAAATGAACTAAAACTGTATGAGTAATTTTATGGAAAAAGCCTGGTTAATTTTGGTAGTGTTTTAGTACTAATGACTATTATAGTTTTCTTCTACTGCTATTTACCGAGTGTCATATAAAAATACTTTAATGTACAGTATTTATTTATTTATTTTTTAGACAGAGTCTTGTCTTGCTCTCTCACCCAGGCTGGAGTGCAGTGGCATGATCTCAGCTCACTGCAACCTCTGCCTCCTGGGTTCAAGCGATTCTCCTGCCTCCTGAGTAGCCAAGCGTGCACCCCCACACCTCGCTAATTTTTTGTATTTTTAGTAGAGATGGGGGTCTCACCATGTTGGCCAGCCTGGTCTCGAACTCCTAACCTCAAGATCACCTTGGCCTCCTGAAGTGCTGGGATTACAGGTGTGAGCCACAGTGCCCTGCCTAGTATTGAACTTAGTCTAATAATTGAGGTATTATATTTCATTTTATAGATGAAGAAGCTGAGGATTGGGGTAGTTAGATGATTTATCCAAATTCACAGAGCCCATAAAAGTTAGAGTTCCAAACCAGCTAAAGTAGTTTTTCTTTATGCTGTATATTGATTAGCTATAATTTGCTGATTTTTTTTTGAGACGGAGTCTTGCTCTGTCACCCAGGCTGTAGTGCAGTGGCACGATCTTGGCTCACAGCATCCTCCACCGCCCAGGTTCAAGCTATTCCCCTGCCTCAGCCTCCTGAGTAGCTGGGACTATAGACATATGCCAGTTTTTGTATTTTTAGTAGAAACGGGGTTTCACCACATTGGCCAGGAGGGTCTCGATCTCCTGACCTCGTGATCCACCCACCTAGGCCTCCCAAAGTACTGGGATTACAGGCGTGAGCCACCGTGCCTGGCCCATTTGCTGAAAATTTAACCAAGTGGCAGACTCTATTAAGTGCCATATTATAAACCTGCAACTTTTATCTGTGGCTTTTATATTTCTCCAGAATTTGGAAAATGTGTGGGCTTTGAAAGACTTGCTTGGTGGTTTGTCTTCAGCGTTTTAGCTGCCATGATGAGGTCTTCACTGTAGCTCATACCTGTTGGGTCTGCCTTCTGAGCATGCTCTTCAGGTGGCTGTGTGGCATTCTTCCACTCTATTTCTGTTTTGCTTTGTTTTTTTTTTGTTTTTTTTTTGATAGGATTTTGCTCTATCTCCCAGGCTGGAATGCAGTGGCACAACAAAGCTCACTGCAGCCTTGACCTCCCAGGCTCAAGCTCTCCTCCCATCTGACCCTCCCAAGTAGCTGGGACCACAGGCACATGCCACTATGCCTGGCCTCACCTTTCTGCTAGTCAGAAGAGCAAAGATCTTATATGGACTGTTTTTGCTATTGGATGAAAGATATTTACTGACTGATAAAAAGCAAGTTCATGTGGTACATCCAAGGATATTCCCAGGACTAAGAAATCATTACAGGCAGGGGTTAGATAAAGCACTGTGAATGCGATGCTGCTGGAAGAATTCTTGGCACTTGAACAGTAAAGGGGAAGAGGTGCATTCCCCGGGAGATCAAAGGACAGAAGGAAAGAGGCAGAAGAGAGCCAGACAGCTGCTGTGTGATATGGCTTGGCTAGCTGGGCAGAGGATATTGTAGGGAATGCTTTTAGCAGACTGGTTATGGGATATACATAATATGGGGTCAGTGAAGTGCTTAACACTGTGAGAATCGCATTAGTGAAATTAAAGGAAAAGTGCTCAGATGTGAAGCCACTTTTCTCCTGGACGAGCTCCTACAACTAGGGAAAGTAGAGTAGTACTGGACTGAAGCCAGTGGATGCTCCAGAGGGGGTGTGGCTGGCCTGGACTGCAGAAGTCAAGGGGCAAGGGAGTGCGGCAAAGCCAACAGGACAGGGCCTTCACCAGCAGATGGAAGCATTCTGCTCTTAAGGGTAGGTAGCTTCCTCTAGTAGAAACATGGGGAAAGAACGAAAGAGGGATGACAGGATACCAAGTGAGACTGTTCCTATTGGCTTTAAATTGCTATTAAGGCCAAAGGCTGAGAACACTACACCCTCTTGTTATGGAGCCTAGAGAGAGAGAACTGCCAACAGTGAGAGGGTCAGTGACTAGAAAAAATATTATCATTTCCTGCCGGAAACTCCAAGCTGAGATTCCTCAGGAGACTAGATACATAGTGATGAGTCATGCATCTAATTCCTCTTACTCTGGTTGGACATTCAGGCATCCCCTGGATTTGATTCAAGGTTGATGCCGCTTCTGTACAGGGTGACTGCCCAACCAGTCCCCTTGACGATAACGTTCGCTTTGTCTGACTTAAATATGTTGACATCTGCTTTCGTGCCTGAATCTCCTTGAGTCTGTTGGCGGGTGGCCGTGTCTGAGGCGTCTGGCATCTCTGTAGCATTAGCATTGAGTGTTTGTGTTCCTGGATCTTAAAACTAAGGCTGCTCAGCCCTTGGACCTCAACCCAAGCCAATAACCCTCTGTGGGCTCTGCATGTGTCCAAGTCACCTGCCATGAGTCACCTTTATTGTGCAGTCACTGACCACAGTGATGAACACAGAGAAGCAAGTAGCAGAAAGGTGGAAACTGGGGGCAGAGTGGGAGGGCGTGGGTGTCTGACAGAGCCTCTCTTTTGTAGTGGGGTGGGTGGCTGTGGGCTGGGAGCCCACCTTTTAGGGGCCCGTGGTGGCTGATCCTAGCACCACTAACCCTCACTCTCCCCTTCCTTTTCCCACTGGCTTCCTCTCTATTTCCACCTTGGAAATGGGCTTGCCTGTTCTGCAGGGCAGGGCACATCCTGAAAGGGGAAAGCCTGGTACATGTCATCTAAGGGACGGCCCCATCTTTGCACTTAGTTGGATGTGGAGGGGTTCACTGGGTCTGCTTTCCTAAATGTCGGTCTATGTGTGTGTCTGTGTGGGTCCGTCTGTTGTTGGGGCTAACTGAGCCCTCACCTCCTTCCCCAGCCTGCCTTACCTGGCTGCTCTCTGTCGCTGTCAGATGCTTTCATGCAATTCCCATCTCTGTAGACTCCACATTTGGCCCTGGATGATGGGAAAGCCACAGCTGGGGCTGAGCATTGAAGAACCTTTTCTCACTGGAGACCATTTAGAGTGAGACACTGTGGCTCTCTTGGGTCGGGCTTGAATGATTGGGCACAAGTAAACAGATCCTCCATCCCTGGAGATAAGGGTTCCCTCCCATGGGACCAGGGCAGCAAGAACTGCTAAGTTTGGGTGCCCCTAGGGCTGATTCCTCAGAGGTCCTCATTAGAGACACACAGACTGTGTTCTTGCTTGTACTCTGGGCACAGAGCTATCTCAGGGTGAGGGGAAACTCAATTTAGTGCACGGACTCGTTGCTTGAGTTTGGACACTCAACTTAATTTTTCTGGATTTGTTTCTCTATCTGAAAAGTAAGGAGAGTCAGGAAAGCAAAGGGCATGATTTCCAAGATAGAAATATTCCATGAATCTATGATTTCATAATGTATTCAATGCTTATTCATTTTTATTAAATATATGTTTATAAAATTGATTCATTCCTGTATAAATATTTATTTTAAGAAGTTTCTGCTTGGGCTGAGATCTGAGAAGGATTTAATAATTTAGTTTCAGGTGCCCTCAGCATTTTTATACATTTCTTATAATTTGATAAAGTAGGTAATTAAAAATATGACAGAAATTTTGTTTAAACAATGAAGAAATTTATACATTAAGGAAATATAAGCATATAAATACATACATTTCTACCCTATAAAGCCAAAATGTATACACTTCTTTTTTTAATTTTTATTTATTTTTTTTTTTTGTAGGAAGGGAGGAAGGGAGGAAAGGAGGAAGGGAGGGAGGGAGGAAGGAAGGGAGGGAGGGAGGGAGGAAGGGAGGGAGGGAGGGAGGGAGGGAGAGAAGGGAAGGAAGGAAATCAGGCAATGAGAGAGACATTGCTGACCTAGATCTAGAGGTCTACAAGTTGATTTCTTTTTTCTTTTTTCTTTTTTTTTTTTTGAGAGAAGGAAAGAAAAAAGGGGTGAAGGAGAGGAAGAAAGAGGAAGAAAAAGAGGGAGAGAGAACAGAAATGTTGCTTTATTCTAAAAAAATGGGTATTAATAATGGCCAATCAATATTTCATTTAAACCTATGAGTAGGTATGATGTGGTATTGACAAGAATGTATATTTTGTGTATTTGAAGTGGAGAGCTCTATAAATATTTATTGAGTTTACTTGCTCCAGATCTGAGTCCTTGCTATCCTTATTAATTTTCTGTCTCATTGAGTCTAAGTCTCTATGTATCTGGGTGTTAGGATCGTTAGCTCTTGTTGTTGCAGTGATCCTTTTACCACTATATGTTTGTTGCTTTAAAATCTATTTTATCAGATACGAGAATTGCAACTCCTGCTTTTTATTTATTTATTTATTTATTTTTGCTCTCCTTTGGTTGGTAAATCTTTCTCCATCCCTTTGTTTTGAGTCTTTGTGTATCCTTGCGTGTGAAATGGGTCCGGATGTAGCATACCATTGGGTTTTGGTTGTATCTTTTGATTGGGGGATTTAGTTGATTTAAATTTAGGATTACTGCCATTTGATGTTAACTGGCTGTTTTATCCATTCATTGAGGTAAATTCTTCTTTATGTTGATTCTCTTTACTTTTTGGTATATTTTTAGAAAGGCTAATACTGGTTGTTTCTTTCTATGTGTCATGCTTCTTTCAGAAGCTCTTGTAAAGCAGGCCTGGTGGTAATAAAATCTCTGAGTACTTGCTTGTTCATAAAATATTTTATTTTTCCTTCAGTTGTGAAGCTTAGTTTGGCTGGATATGAAATTCTGGGCTGAAAGTTCTGTTCTTTAAGGATGTTGAATATTGGCCCCCACTCTCTTCTGGCTTGTAGAGTTTCTGCTGAGAGATCTGCTGTAAGTCTGATAGGCTTCCCTTTGTGGATAACCTGACCTTTCTCTCTGTCTGCCCTTAGTATTTTCTCCTTTGTTTCAACTCTAGTGAATCTAACGATTATTGTTAGGGGGTTGCTCTTCTTGAGGAATATCTTTGTGGTGTTCTCTATATTACCTGGGGTTGAATATTGTCCTGCTTTGCTAGTTTAGGAAATTTTTCCTGAATAATATGCTGAAGAATATTTTCCAGCTTGGATTCATTCTCTCCGTCGCATTCAGGTACACCTATCAAACGTAAATTTGGTCTTTTCACGTAGTCCCACATTTCTTGGAGACTTTGCTCATTCCTTTTTATCCTTTTTCTCTAATCTTCTCTTCTCATTTTATTTCATTAAGTTGAACCTCGACCTCTGATATCCTTTCTTCTGCTTGAACAATTCGAGTGTTTAAACCTGTGCATGCTTCTTGGAGTTCCCGTATTGTATTCTTCAGTTCCATTAATTCACTTATATTCCTCTCTAAGTTGTCTATTCTCATTAGGATTTCGTCAAACCTTTTTTCAAAGTTCTTAGTTTTTTTACATTGGGCTACAACATGTTTTTTTAACTCACAAAAGTTTCTTATTATCCATCTTCTGAAGCCTGGTTCTATTAATGGGATGCGCTCATTCTCCATCAAGCCTTGTTCCCTTGTTGATGAGGAACTGTGATCCTCTTTAGAGGGAGAGGCATTCTGATTTTGAGTATTCTCAGCCTTTTTATGCTGGTTTCTTCCCATCATTGTAAATTTATCCACCTGTCATCTTGTAATTACCAACTTTCAAATTAGGTCTCTCAGTGGATGTCCAAGTTGTTAATTCCCAGGGCTGAAATATGAGCAACCCACTGCGCCAGCCAAAACAGCAGCATTAAGACTGATGGTGCTTTTCTGCCTGGGAATCTCCAGTCTGTCTTCCTTCTTGAGTCCGTAATAGGTGACTCTGCCTTCCCGGAGCTCCAAACCTCAGTCAGAAGGGGAAGCAGTCCCATTTACTCTGCACCAAGAGCTGCCGCGCCAAGGTGCAGGCAGAACTGCTGCGCCGGCCACAAGAGTTGTGCTGGTGACCTGTGTGACTCCTCTACTGGGAATCCTCTGCTCCAGGAGCGACCAAAATTTGTCTGAAAGTGTGGTGTCCTCTCGTTCTCTGAGCTTTCACTAGGAGCTGCAATCCCGAGATGTTAGCGATCTTGGATCGTTCCTCGCAATGATGTTATTTTCTAGCTTTACCAAAATGTTGCCATGCTTATCATCTTGGACTTTCTGCATGAGGACAAGGACCTGGTCTGTTAGAGCAGGAGTCCCCAACCCCCTGCTCACAGACTGGCATCAGCCTGCAGGCTCTCAGGAACGGGACCATACAGCAGGAGGTGAGCAGAGCTATACTTCTTTTTAAAACATTAAAATCAGGGTAATTAGGATATCCATCACCTGAAATACTTATCGTTTTTTTGTGTGGGAAACATTATACTTCTCCTCTTCTAGCTATTTTGAAAAATACATTTTTGTCAATTTCCCTACTATTGAATACTATCAAATGCTGGAACTTATTTCTTCTATAACTGTGTTTTTGTACCCATTTAACCCTTACTCCTCACTTCCCTTCCCGGTCTCTGGTAACTGTCATTCTACTCTCTACTTCCATGATCCACTTTTTAAGCTTCCGTCTATGAATGAGAACGTGTAATATTTGACTTTCTGTGCCTAGCTTATTTTACATAGCATGATGACCTCTAGTTCTATCCATGTTGCTGCAAATGACAGGATTTTATTCCTTTCATGGCTGGATAATATTCCATTGTGTATAAGTACCACATTTTCTTTATCTATTCATCTATTGATGGACACTTAGGTTGATTCCATATCTTGGCTGTTGTGAATCGTCATGCAATAAACAGGGAGTGCAGGTATCTCTTCTATGCACTGTTTTCCTGTTTGTTTTTTGCATATATATATGTATAAATATGCATATATATATCCCCAGCAGTGGGATTTCTGGATCATAAGGCAGTTATACTCTTAGTTTTTCAAGGAAACTCCATGTTGTTTACCATAACGGCTGTACTACTTTGTGTTCCCACAAACAGTGTGTAAGCATTCCCTTTCTCTCCATCTTCACCAGCGTTAGTTATTTTTTAAATTGAAATTGAAATTTATTTTATTTTTTGAGATGCAGTTTTGCTCTGTCACCCAGGCTGGAGTGCAATGGTGCGATCTCAGCTTACTTTCAGCCTGGGCCAAGATGACATCTCATTGTGGCTTTGATTTGTATTTTTCTGATCATTAGTGATGTTAATCATTGTATGTCTTCTTCTGAGAAATGTCTACTTAGGTCTTTTGCCTAGTTTTTAATCAGATTATTTATTTTTTCCTATTGAACTGATTATTCTGGTTATTAATCCCCTGTTGAATTAGTAGTTTGCAAAATATTTTCTCCCATTCTGTGCATTGTCTGGTCACCCTGTTGAATGCTTCCTTTGCTGTGCAGAAGCTTCCTGGTTTGATGCAATCTTATTTGTCTATTTTTGCTTTTGTTGCCTGTGCTTTCAAGGTCTCATCCCAAAATATCTTTGCCCAGATCAACGTCCTGCAGCATTTCCCCATTGTTTTCTTGGAGTAGTTTTATACTTCCAGGTCTTACATTTAAGTCTGTAATCCATTTGAGTTGATTTTTTTATATGGTGAGAGAGGGGAGTCTAGTTTCTTTCTTCTGCATGTGGATATCCAGTTTACCCAGCAGCATTTATTGGAGAGACTGTCCTTTTTTCCAGTATATATTCTTGGTGTCTTTGTTGAAAATGAGTTGATAGTAAATGTGTGGATTTATTTTTGGGTTCTCTAGTCTGTTCCATTAGCCTATGTGTTGGTTTTATTGACAGTGCCATGCTATTTGGGTTACTATAGCTTTGCTGTATAGATATTCTTCTTTTATGCCCAAGGAGCAATGACAAATACTGACCATTTTCTTGGCTACAACAAAAATGTTAATAAATTCTCTAAACGTTGATTCTATTAGGTGTATTCTCTTACAGCCTCTTATTACAAAGCCAAAAATTATAAATCAAAAATCAAAATGTACCCAGCATTTTGGGAGGCTGAGGTGGGTGGATCACTTGAGGTCAGAAGTTTGAGACCAGCCTGGCCAACATGGTGAAACCCTGTCTCTACTAAAAATACAAAAATTAGCTAGGTATGGTGGTGCACGCCTGTAGTCCTAGTTACTTGGGAGGCTGAGGTGCGAAGATCACTTGAACTTGAGAAGCAGAGGTTGCAGTGAGCCAAGATCACACCATGGCACTCCAGCCTGGGTGACAGAGTGAGACTCCATCTCAAAAAAAAGAAAAGGAAAAGAAAAAAGAAAAGAAAAAATGAGGCCAAACACAGTGGCTCATGCCTGTAATCCTAGTACTTTTGAGAGGCCAACGGGGGCTGATTGTCTGAGGTCATGAGTTGGAGACCAGCCTGGCCAACATGGGGAAGCTCTGTCTGTACTAAAAATACAAAAAAAAAAAAAAAAAAAATGGTTAGTTGGGCATGGTGGTGCTCACCTGTATTCCCAGCTACTCGGGAAGCTGAGGCAGGAGAATAGCTTGAGCCCAGGAGGGGGAGGTTGCAGTGAGCCAAGATTGCACCACTGCACTCCAGCCTGGGCAACAGAAATTAAAGAAAAAAAATAATGAAAATGTATGGTAAAGTAGCCTTAAATGCGTTTATTGTCTATGAGAAAATATAAAAGTAAATAAAAAGCATTTTTATTTCAAAATTATTTTGTCAAATACATATATTGACATAGCTTTAAAAGATTTTTTTTTTTCTGAGACGGAGTATCACTGTTGTCAGCTGGGGCTAGAGTGCAATGGTGCGATCTCGGCTCACTGCCGCCTCCCGGGTTCCAGCCGTTCTCCTGCCTCAGCCTCCTGAGTAGCTGAGAATACAGGGGCCTGCCACCATGCCTGGCTAATCTTTGTATTTTTAGTAGAGATGGTGTTTCTCTGTGTTTGCCAGGCTGGTGTCAAACTCCTGACCTGAGGTGATCCACCTGCCTCGGCCTCCGAAAGGGCTGGGATTACAGGCATGAACCACTACACTCAGCCTTAAAAATTAAATAAATGTTTAAATGAAAAAATCCATCCCTATCCCTCACCTTTCCCCTGCTGAGTCCCACTTCCCAGTGTAAATATTTTTATGTATTTCCTAATAATATGCTTGTACTGCTATTTTTAAACACCAATTTGCAGTTATATTGTATCCACTCTCTTCCCATCATGGCAGGTGAAGGGTAACACCTTACATCACTTCACCATCCCATTCCTTTCCCATACAATTTTTCGGTGAGTCACTGTGTATCACTGATACTCTGCCTCTGTTGTTTACTGTTGGGCCAAATGGCATACTAATACTGCTTTTTCTCTTGGACAACTTGTAGTTGTCTCTGAAGGTAATAGTTAATGATAAAAAAATAGTTGCCTTTTTTGTTTGCCAATTTTTTTTTTTTTTTTGAGACGGAGTTTTGCTCTTGTTACCCAGGCTGGAGTGCAATGGCGTGATCTCGGCTCACCGCAAGATCAGGCAATTCTCCTGCCTCCTGGGTTCAGGCAATTCTCCTGCCTCAGTCTCTGAGTAGCTGGGATTACAGGCACCTGGCACCATGCCCAGCTAATTTTTTGTATTTTTAGTAGAGACAGGGTTTCACCATGTTGACTGGGATGGTCTCAGTCTCTTGACCTCGTGATCCACCCGCCTCGGCCTCCCAAAATGCTGGGATTACAGGCTTGAGCCACCATGCCTGGCTTGCCAATTTTTATTTTTAGTTTTGAGATGGAGTTTCGTTCTTGTTGCCCAGGCTGGAGTGCAATGCTGTGACCTAGACTCACTGCAACTTCTGCCTCCCAGTTTCAAGCAATTCTTCTGGCTCAGTCTTCAGACTAGCTGGGATTACAAGTGCCTGCACCACAGCTGGCTAATGTTTTGTATTTTTAGTAGAGATGGGGTTTTACCATGTTGTCTAGGCTGTTCTCAAACTCCTGACCTCTGGTGATCCACCTCTCTCAGCCTCCCAAATTGCTGGGATTATAGGCATGAGCCCAGCCCATTTTTTTTTTTTTTAAACAAAATCTTGCTCTGTCACCCGGGCTGAAGTGCAGTGGTGCGCTTGTAGCTGACTGCAGCCTCGAACTTCTTGGCTCAAGAAATACCCCTGCCTCAGCTTCCTGAGTAGCTAGGATTATAAGCCACATGCCCCATGCTCAGTTAATTAAAAATATTTTTTCATAGAGATAGGGTCTCACTGTGTTGCCCAGGCTGGTCTTGAACTCCTGCCTCAGGCTCCCAAAGTATTGGGATTACAGGTATAAACCACTGCACCCTGCTATGTTTGCCTTTTATTCTGACTTTATCCTTTCCATATTCTAAAATTAAATTTTCGGGGTTTTTGAGTTATAATTGATACATAATACAAATTACCAATTTAAATGTACACTTTGATGAGTTTTGATAATTTTGTGCAGTTATGTAATCACCATCACAATCAAGATACAGAAGGTTAGAAACTCTGTTTGAGATGAAAAAAAGGGAAGAAATAGAATAAAAACATACAGAATGATTCCATCACCCTAAAAAGTTCTCTTGTTTCCATTTGTAGCTGTTCCTCGCCTACCAATCTGCTTTTTTCCACTATGGTTTTCTCTTTCTAGAACTTGATACAGATGGAATCACAAAATATGTAGTCTTTTGCATTTGATTTCATTCACTTAGCATGATGTCTTTGAGATTCATCCATGTTGTTGCTGTATTACTAATTTGCTGCATTTACTAGCACTGTGTTCCTTTTTATTGCTAAGAAGTATTCCATCGTAAGGAGATCCATAGTTTTTATATCAATTCCACAGTTGATGGAAATTTGAATTGTTTCCAATTTGGAGATACTATATATAATAATGTATGCACATCCCTACATATGTATATAGCATGTATGTAACACCACCATGTATGTTTCTGTAAGGTCTGTGTGTAGGCACGTATTTTCATTTTTCTTGTAATATGATTACCAGGTCATATGATAAATGCATTTTTAACTTTATAAAATACTGCAATACCGTTTTGTAAAAATGACTATCATTTTGCATTCCTATCAACGAGGAAGAAGGAAAGGAAAAATTACTTGGGTAAGCAACTAAGAGACCAGTCCTCAGAGAAGCTGCTTCTCTGAAAAATCACAGCTACAGGCAAAAATAGAGCAGCCTGGAGAAAATTCAGACTGCAGCTGCATAGCTAAGCCACAGATATACAGGCAGACAGGCAAAGTCCAACATAGAAGCCCTTTGTTCTTTGTATGATTAACAAACTCCCAGGAAAATGTTTCCTCCCCTTT